GGTGTACCCCGCCCCTCGCACTGACTGCTGGATTAAAGGTGAAAAATGATTAACGTGTGACTGTGGCCGTTTATTTTTTTTAACCTTAAAATTAARAGGAGTATGTTTTCTGAATTAAGCAACAAGAAGMTGAAATTGTCACAAAAWGGTGAATTTAGCTGTAAAAATGCTAAAATTAGCTGAAAAGTAGCTAAAATGCTGAAATTAGCAGAAAGAAACTGCAASGGTATGTTTGCTGAATTAAGCCAAAAAAGGCTGAAAAGACCACTAAAACATGAATTTAGCTGAATAATGCTTAAATAAGCAAAAAGCAGCTAATGAGTAGCTGAAAAGGCAAAAAAGGCAGGATGAAACTTAAAGGAGCATAAAAAGCTTAAATTAACAATAACTGTTAAAAGGCACATCAAAGCTGATTTTAGCAGAAAGAAGCTAAAAYCTGCTCAAATGAGCAAAGAAGTAGTTGACTGAAGGAGAAATTATTACAAAGAAGTTAAAAAAGCAGATCCAGAACAAAAGTGGAAAAGTACAGTAAAGATTTATGAACATTTTATAGAGTTTTAAGGAGGCTAAAGACAGCTCCATTCGTTTCAAAGAGGAAAATTAAATGGTAGAAAATGCAGAAATGTCTTGAAGGAGATGAACTTTTGATAGATCAATTGTTGAAATGGCACAAACATTGAAGAACCGGATGCGAGCTGAAAAACGTACAGAAAAAAATGGATTTTATATTTATCCTAAAGATGTGACTTTTTTTTGTTCTGTACTTCATAACGAAGTCTTCTTCTACTSTTAAACCTCTCCAGATGTTCTGGCTCGCCCTCGTCATTCCTAAATGACACAATACTGCAGCCTATGAATACCCGAGACAAATTTCTCAATTTGACCGAACTCCAGGCCCAGCTGTGTTGAAATCTGAGCGACTCCAGCTAAGTGGCTCCACTTAGCTGTACTTAGAGAAAAAAAAAGTCTCTGTCACTTGAATCCAACTTCCTTCCCTGCCTTAATCTCCAGCTCATTTCTGAGGTCTGTGCTCATCCTCTGGAAGCTCAGACAGGCCTCACAAATGAACCCATCATTCACGCTCAGAACCCSTCACAGGAGGGCTGATAAGATGAGAACATCCCCTACCTCGTCCCCCCGTTTCTCATCCGGACAGGGCAGGGATTGTAAGCCACACAGAGCTTTTATTGTGGTGGGGAATGTCTGAACTCCCACTTGACAAGACAGCAAACAGACACTCCGTGTGTGCACGCTCCCACACACGGAGGCCCATCGGAAACATTTCATCTGTTTTAACACAGAAACCGTTTAAATCAAACCATCTCTGCTCTTTGAATGAGGTTTTTTTTTAATAAAACGCAGCGCTCACACTCACTGAGCGCTTTGCTGGATAAATTTACAAGCAATAAGTGGGAAAATGTGGCTTCAAGGCCAGAAGGGCTGCAACATTTTATCTGACTTTAACAAATTCTGTGCTGAAKAGAGAATTGACAACTTTCTGAGGCGTTTGCTTTGGCCTCTTAATAACACTGATGACGACTGTGAGCTTATTGTTTTTATCACTATTTTTAGAATCTGCATCATCCCTTTGGGGAAATGCAGGAAACATGGCAGACTTTCTCATAGTTTTAAACGTTTCCCGACGAATTACTCAAAAACATAAAAAAAAACCTCCCCCCCCTGCTGATAACTGGAGTTACTTTGGAGTTCCCAAAAAGAGCAGCTCCTTTCTGACCTCCAGGTGTCCCACGATGCAGAACTGCTCGGGCTGACGGAGGCCGCAGGTGGAGGAGGCGGTGAGTTTGTGCGCCCGGCCAATCAGCAGGTCACCTGTGGCGGGGTAACAGCTGCCCTCGGTGCACACATCTGCAAACTCCGGCTCCTGTGTTGTGATGGGACGCCACAGGGCTGCAGGGGGMGACAGCTGTCAGTGAAATCATTGCACAGTTCACTACGTTCGTTAGCGCTTCAGTTTTAAAAAAACACCCCAAAGGGGCTCACTGGCAGAAAAAGATCAGAGCAGTTCTGTGTAATGTGATGAGCGTGAACAACACTGTGCATATGGCTTCCATTAAATGTGTTGCTGCTGGTGAGAAACCCAGGAGATGGGATTCCTCCCCAGCGAGCACATTTTTCAACAAAAGCAAAACGAAAAGTTTCAACTCACCCAGGGCTGTTAACGTGAAGCTTAGCAACAACATCTTCCAGAGAGGAGCATTTACAGCTTCTTCCTCCAGCAAACTGACTGTTGATGAGTTTGTGAAAAGTAGCTGCTGCAGCGTGAAGGGAGTTGTCTTGGGAGGGAGAGAAAAAAAAGTTCACATCCCACCAACTCCACCCCACTGACAGCAGAGAGACAACATCTGGAAAACAAGCTCACCCTCTGCTGGCAGCACACACGGATATCTGATCGAGCGCTGTCTGGTTGTGTGAGAATAAAAGTTGTCCTTTTAGGACAAAAGGTTTCAGGTCGTTTCACCAGAAACTGCATGAATTTAGCAAATATTATTATGGTTAGCTTTATTACAGTAAATGGCTGGTAAAAAGACCTTAATCCAGATTATAGCCTTCCAACTATGATCATGAAATACAGGATGGATGGATGGATGGATGGATGGATGGATGGATGGATGGATGGATGGATGGATGGATGGATGGATGGATGGATGATG